AGTTGTGTTATTCTGAGTGTGTTGTGTTACTCTCAGGACCTCACCTGAGGTTCGAGGACGAGGTGGACGCTCTGCAGCCACATGTGGACAAGCTGCGGACGCTGGGAGTGGATAAGATCATCGCTCTGGGTCACTCTGGTTTCACCAAGGACCAGGAGATCGCTAAGAAGGTCCGCGGAGTGGACGTGGTCATCGGAGGACACACCAACACGTTCCTCTACACAGGTGAGGGGGCGTTGGATTTATTCGTGACATCATATCCTGTCTAGCCTCTAACGAACGTCTCAGGAGAAAACTTTGTTCCTGAATAAATGTTATTAGATTTTCTCCGTCTCTGTCTAAATAAACACTATATTTATTTATCTATATTTAAAAGTATTGGGTCACCTGCTTTGACTCACACATGAAGTGACTTCCTGTTCTCAATCCAGAGGGTGTCATTTGACGTCGCCCCCCCCCCCTCTGCAGTTATAACAGCTTCAGCTCTTCTGGGAGGATTTCACGAGGTTCAGGAGAATCTTTGACTATTCGTCCAGAGGAGCATGAGTGAGGTCACATGATGCTAAGGCCTGGCTCTCAGCCTCCGCTCTGATTCATCCCAAAGGTGTTCGATCGGGTTCAGGTCCGGACTCGAGACAGGAAGGGGCCGCCCTCCAACTGTTCCAACGAAGTTCATCAGAAACATCTGGTGCACCATATTGCCAAAGTATTAATATCCAAGTGTTCAGTCTGAGGGCGGCCCCTTTCTGTTTCGAGTCCGGACCTGAACCCGATAGAACACCTTTGGGATGAATCAGAGCGGAGGCTGAGAAGAACTACTGAAGCTGAAGCCTGAAGCTGAAGCCGAAGCCTGAAGCTGAAGCCTGAAGCTGAAGCTGAAGCCTGGAGCCGTGACGTGGAGGTTTGTCTCTGGATGTGTTCCAGCAGGAGAAGCAGGATAATGATTTCCTCTGTTTAAATAGAGGAAGTTGAAGATCTGTGCCGGTGCAGATTGAAACTGTGGATGTGAACTCTTTTCAAACGTCCTGCCGCTCAGCCCACGTTGGTGGTTTTCTGGTTACGTGTCGTGGTTCTGGTGCATTGTTCATGTGTGTTTACTCTCGTAGATTCATTGTTTGTTATCAACCTTCAGCACTTTTCTTTCTCTCCTCAGGAACTCCTCCCTCATCGGAAGTCCCCGCAGGTCCGTATCCCTTTCTGGTGAAATCGGACGACGGGCGGCAGGTTCCCGTTGTGCAGGCCTACGCCTTCGGAAAATATCTGGGATATCTGAAAGTGACCTTTGACGATGCTGGAAACGTGGAGAGGGCCACAGGAAACCCCATCCTGCTGAACAGCAGCTTCCCGCAGGGTAAAGAGATCTTCTGAGGTCGTCACCGACAAACTTCACCTTCTTTCTCTTTTCACACATGAAACATGACGTAGTTGCTTCACGTTTTCATTTTGGTGTAAAACGCATCGTTACCACTTCAGTTATCAGCTGGGAGAGGCTCCTCCCTCTTCCTCTTCTCCTTCTAAACAAACAGAAATGTGTGTGCACGTAGAAACGATCAAACAGACATTTGTTCCCATGAGAACACGGTGAGTTATGATCTGACGCTGTGGTTCAGACCCAGATGTTCTGGCTGATGTGGAGAAATGGAAGAAGAATCTGGCAAACTACTCGGCTCAGGTTGTGGGACAGACTCTGGTCTTCCTGAACGGAGAAAGCGAGGAGTGTCGTTTCCGGGAGTGTAACCTGGGAAACCTGATCTGTGACGCCATGGTGAGTCTGGAACTGATCGCTGAAAGAACAAGGTTTGAAATTCATCCTCTGAGAAGCAGAACGTTTGTGAAACTAACTTCAGGTTCTAACCTGTGACCGTTTAAAAACGTGTTGAATGTTAGTTTGACATTTTCAAACCTTCAGAACTGAACGTAGCTTCCAAACCAAGAAGTAGAATCTGACTGACGATGTTCTGCAGGTCGACAACAACATCCGCATCCCTGACGACGTCCAGTGGAACCACGTCAGCGCCAGCATCTTCAACGGAGGCGGCGTCCGGGCGTCCATCGACGAGCAGTCCAGGAACGGTGCGTCTCTGTTTCCATGGACGTGTTTCACTGTGACGATCAGAACATGTTGAGAAAAAGATTCGAGCTGATTTTCTAATTCATCCCGCAGGTTCCATCACCATGGAGGACCTGATCTCCGTCTTACCGTTCGGAGGAACCTTCGACCTGGTGCAGCTGAGGGGCTCCACGCTGAGGAAAGCGTTCGAACACTCAGTGAGACGATACGGACAGAGCACCGGAGAATTCCTCCAAGTGTCCGGTACCTGGACTCTACCCGCTGCACCTCGACGTTCACTCTCCTGTTGACCGGGCGTCTAACGACTGATGGCGTTTGTGTTTCTTCGTCAGGATTTCACGTAGAGTTCGATCTCTCCAAACCTCCAGGACGTCGTGTGACGAGCCTCCGCATCCTCTGCACAGAGTGTCGCGTCCCTCACTACCAACCGGTGGAGGACGAGACGGTTTACACGGTGGTGCTGACGTCCTACATGGTGAAGGGCGGGGACGGATTCGACATGATCCAAAACGAGATTGTCAAGTACAACAGCGGTGAGACGTGTGGAAACTGAGGCGTTGTTTGATTTCCACATTTATTTTCAACTTCATTTCACCGTCTCTCTGTTTTGTCTCCCTCCAGGAGATCTGGACATTTCAGTCGTTTCCAGGTTCATCGGGAAGAGAAAGAAAGTTTATCCTCCTGTCGAAGGACGAATCAGGATCAAGAACTCTGCGTCGAGGCTGCAGGGACGAGCTGCTCTGCTGGTTTCACTGTCGCTGCTCTGGAGTGTGTGCGGGACCATGTGAGACTGGACAGGAAGAAGAACCCAACGATGTCTCACTTCTCGTCTTCACGCCGCAGTACCGCTGATGACCACTGAGATCTGAGCCCAACCAGAAATTTGGTACATTTTCCTGAATGTGTTTCCATGACGACAGATCAATGTGCTCGAGTTTGTTGTTGAGCTCAGAAACTCGTTCACAGACAGATGATGTGTGAAATCTTGGTTCTGCGTCTGTAAAAATTCTTCAAGTACGTTTTTTACATTGGATTCTAGAAAACTTGAGACTTGAAGAATGTTTCTGTGAAAAAGTGACGATTGGAAGTTTTGTCATGTACTGCGTGTACTTGTACCATGGCAGGATTCTATTGACAAATCTATTATGTGAAATAATAAACTTTAACATCTGATTTTTACTTCCTGGTACAACAGTCACACTCTTCTAATCGTCGTATTCCGAGTTGGGGTCGTTTCCCCTCCTTCTTCCTGGTTGAGCCTGAGTCGTTCACAGGCCTGATGGGAAATGTAGTCCGTCCAGAGTGAGCGCGACAGTAAACCCCGCCTCCAGAGGGCGGTTCTTGTTTTTATTATTTTATTTGAACTTTATTAAAATCACTGTTTCCGCAGATTTTAGTGAAAAACTGAAACTTTGTTTTTACATTCAAACATTATGTCAAAGATGTGCATTATGGGAAATGTTCTGTTTTCTTATGAAGATCGTTAAAGTTGATTTTAGAAGGTAAATATCACGTCTGCTCCGAATCCTTTCGGCTAAGTCCAAAACTAATTTCACTCTTTAACACGGAACAAATGACGGAGTGTCTTCGCTTCGACCTCAGTTTTCTCTGTGATGGATGAAGAACGAGCAGCGACGTCAGTTTGAGATCCTCGTGCAGAGACTCGACGTGTGACTGGTCGTTCAGTGGATTTCACACTCTGAGAGGAACTCGACTCGTTCTGGATTCTTCGTCTTCACTCAGCTCAGCAGCCTCGGGGGAAGTTTCCCGGCGGCTGAACAAGGCCTCCTCTGTGTGCGGGTTTCAAACAACGCTCGCTGCCTGTTAATGTTTTATCTCTGGGCCTCGAACGCAGCGTCGCCAGCTGCCAAACGTCCGAGGTCGAAAAAAAAGCTGCTGGAAACTTCCCAGAGGGAAACAACATTCACAACATTTGAACTCAGTTCACACGAATGACTGAAGGACACCCCAGAAACAGTTGCCATGACGATGCCGCACTGCTCGGACAGGAAATGCACTGACTGCTTCCTGTTGTGTCCCCTGAATATTTGTTCATTCAAACAAGATCATCACATCCTCAGGAAAGTTGGAAACGATGTTTCAGCTGATTTTTACATTTTGACCAGTTGTTGTCACTGATTGTATTTTTTCCCTTTTTTTTCCCAGGTTGATGAACGCATCACCATTCAAAGGACCTTCAGTGTGGAAGTGGGTCAGTGAACGCACCACCGCTCAGTTTGAAGGTTCAAGATAAAAGTTTGAGAAAAATAAAAGTTAGATTTCAGTGCGACAGAAACCGCTCGGTGAATAAATATGTTTTTATTTCAAGAGGAATGTGGAAGTATTGCACGTTGGTCGTTCGGGACGTGGACGCAGCGCTCGCTTCACTCGCTGCTCGATTCCTTGGCTCCCTGCAGAGGGGGAAACAACATGAGACCGATGCATTGTGGGACATCAACACCTGCAGAGTCTGATATAGAAAGTGTCTCAGCGCGTCTCTTTTCTCGTGGTTTGTAACTGCAGAAAGTTCACACTGTTGGTTGCTCCTGAAAGCAACACGTCTGTTTCTGAGACGAATGAATCGAGACAACGTGACCTGAACGCATCGCGAGTTAACGAGTCTTAGTTGATCTCGACTGATTTTAACGACACGAAGATTAAATCAGAATTTAATATTAACGAACAATAAAAGTCTTTCACAGAAAATCATGAGGATGAGATTACGTCTCTGTCTCTTATCTAAGTCTGTCTCTTGTTTGTCTCTGTCTCTTTATGTCTCTGTCTCTTGTTTACGCCTCTGTCTCTTGTTTATGTCTCTTGTCTAAGTCTGTCTCTTGTTTATGTCTCTGTCTCTTTATGTCTCT